TGTCACTTTATTTCTAGTTCACTTAAGCTGCTTCTTTCCGTTCCGTCGCTTCCTTGTTTCTGTTCTGTTGATTCCCCAATCCCCGCCCCGCCTATGGAGAAAGGACCTCAGCTCAGTGGTGGAGAGCATCAGCTACACACACAGAAAGTTAGTAGAGCAGGAGACTTAATCTCAGAGTCATGGGTTTGTGCCCCGTGCTGGGCAAATGATTCCTGCATTGCAGGGGGTTGGACTAGATGACCCATGGTCCCCCAACTCTTCAATTCTGTGATTCTAAGGACACAGGCTCCATCCTTGTCACCCTGGGAATGCCCCATGCCTGAAACCCCAGAGAGCCACTTCCAGTCAAAGTAGACAATACTGATCTACATAGACCAATCACCTGACTCAGTGGTTAAGATAGTTGCATATATTCTTATCAGTAGACTCATCCTTCCTGAATTTGTCTTTTGTTGTTGTTTAGTCGTTTAGTCGTGTCCGACTCTTCGTGACCCCATGGACCAGAGCACGCCAGGCACCTCTGTCCTCCACTACTTCCCGCAGTTTGGTCAAACTCATGCTGGTAACCTCAAAAACACTATCCAACCATCTCGTCCTCTGTCGTCCCCTTCTCCTTGTGCCCTCCATCTTTCCCAGCATCAGTGTCTTCTCCAGGGGGTCTTCTCTTCTCATGAGGTGGCCAAAGTACTGGAGCCTCAGCTTCACGATCTGTCCTTCCAGTGAGCACTCGGGGCTGATTTCCTTAAGAATGGAGAGGTTTGATCTTCTTGCAGTCCATGGGACTCTCAAGAGTCTTCTCCAGCACCATAATTCAAAAGCATCAATTCTTCGGCTTTATACCCTTCCAAAGCCATCTAAGTGGCTAGTGTATGGCCGTCACATCAAGTATTGTTGCTCTATCAGTTTTATTATTTATTCATTTATTATATTTATATGTCACCTTTCTTCTCCAAGGATCTCAAGGTGGTCTACGTGGTTCTCTCTCCCCTCCCCCCCATTTTATCCTCTCAGCAACCCTCTGAGGTAGGTTAGGCTAAGAGATAGTGACCAGCCCCTGGTCCCCCAGTGCTCTGATCCTGAAGTGTCTGCAACTCCCTGCAGCTGAGTGGCACAAATATTTTACTTTTCCTGCCTCTGAAGAAAACCTGGATGAGTTTTCTTGCTTAAGCCTGGTAACTTTTCTTACCGCTGTCTTGCTCTCCTCGTGAAAAAGAGAAAAACCCAAGGCCACCTTTGCTTTCTAATTGGCCTTTCATTTCCCACCCTTCCCAAGCAGAACTGATAAAAATCTGCCCCACCTCGAGGCGTGTTGCATCTGACTTGTGTCAGAAGAAGGAATCTTTGTCACATTCCTCCAGCCCCGAATAACAGTCTGTTTCGCCTTGAGATGCAGTGCTTTGCAGAAGACGTTAATCTTCTCCCGAGTCTGAAGGATTCCACGTTGACAGATTATTAAAAATTATAGGCTTGGCTTGCTTTTAGGGAGAGGAAAGTTCAGACCAAGTATGGATTCAACTTGCAAGTTCTGATGGCCTCTCCTGTGGATCAAGTCAAGCGGAAGTGGAGGCGGGGGCTCCCCTTGTTGCACCCTTAAATTGCAACTAAGCTCTCCATCTCTGCTCAAGAGAAATGGTTTGTTATTTAAAGTCCTCCTGGGTAAAAGCAGAAAGCAAATTACAAAATGATCCATGAAATAAACGGAACAGATGGTGAAATTACATATTTCACTTGAACAGTTTAGGGTTTGATGCAAGAGCGTGGAAGCTATCAGACAGCAGATTTCCTCAACAGCAGGCATGGAAAAGCAGGCAATGTTTCATATCGAACAGTCCTGCAAAAGCTAAGTGCAGCCTACTAGCTATGTATGGTGTCCTGCCAGTGCCTCTATAAACTTGTTTTCCTACGCTTATCTGAGATTGCAAAATGAGGGGGAGGGTTAACATGGGAAGGGTGTAGCACAGCACAGACGCAAAGCCACCAGCATGTGGAAGATCCCAGGGTGAGTCACTAGCATCTCTTGATAGGGCTGGGAAAGACACTCACTCTGTAAACTTGTAGAGTCTACACTACTGGTCAGTGTAGACCATGGGTAGGCAAACTAAGGCCTGGGGGCTGGATCCGGCCCAATCGCCTTCTCAATCCAGCCCGTGGAGGGTCTGGGAATCAGCGTGTTTTTACATGAGTAGAATGTGTGCTTTTATTTAAAATGCATCTCTGGGTTATTTGTGGAGCATAAGAATTTGTTCTTTTTTTTTCTTTTCAAAATATAGTCTCACCCCGCACAAGGTCTGAGGGACAGTGGACCAGCCCCCTGCTGAAAAAGTTTGCTGACTCCTGGTGTAGACAGCACTGAACTAAGTGGACCAATAGCTGGACTCAGGGCTCGTGCACGCTTCCACATGTCCAGCTGCTTTCACCCACAAAAAACCTGCTCTTTACAGCTGAATCAGAGCAAACAGCAGACAGGTTTTCTATGAGTTGACATTGCACATATAAGTGAAGATAATGTACAAAAACGTAACATATTGGGATAAACGGCTTTGCAGAAATGTGTGCATTATGCAACACTGCATACAAAAAATGTGCATATCAGGAGAAATTTGAACCCAGCTGCTGAGAACTTAAAAATATATATACTGTATATGTTGTGGAATTGTGGAGTATCAAACTTAAGAGTGGAAACCGAAACCGACATATTTGCCCATCCCGACTCAAAGAGCAGAGGTTTAAAGTGCGTTGTCCAAAATGCCAGTATTTTATTACGCTAGCTCATGCTGCTAAGCTATTGCAGCCAGCTTCCATCCAGGTTGCTTAAGTTTCCTCTTCAGGTAGTTTGGGCAGAGGCACCAATATAATTTTCTTTCCCTTGGGGGAAAAAGATACAGAGAAGAGGAGAAGCTCATTATCTGGATCAGTCAGAAGAATTATGCAGAGACTGAAAATAATTTAAGCAGTGGCTTCAATTAATATATACACTTACACGAGTGTAGGCTCCACTTAAGACAAGGAGACGTTCTGAGTAAGCATGCAAAGGATTGCATTGCAAATTGATATTTCCTCCTTCCCCTTAGGTATTGAATTAAAACTTAAATAGTATCATATCGTTTCTGACTTTTCATGATATTCACTCTGTTTTCGTCTGTTATTGTTAGCTGGTCTGGGCTCCCTTTTGGAAGGTTAAGCTTGAGTGCAAACATTGAAATGAAATGGAATTTGATTGTGCGCTGGGTCTTTCAGTGACCATGATAGATAAGTGTTCATACTCCTGCCCCTGGGGATTAATAATCAAAGATGGACATTTCGGAACTGCGACAAAATGTTGCAGAGTGGAGTCCCCTTGTTCAGAGTTCCAGCCAGCCAGTTTCCCATGCCTCTTTACAAGCTACTCCATTACATTCCCCCTCCTCTCCTGTATTCTATTCACACCCCCCAAATATGCTCTCACTGAGCATGCTTAGTCATCATTTGGGGTCCCCTGCACCACTTTAGGGTAGTTCCCCTCCCCTCCTTTAACAAAAAATGTACTACAACTGTGGGATTTCCCCTAGCCTGCTGTTACCTTCCTCTTATGAATGGGAACTTCCATTTTGGCTACATAAAAAGGGTGTTGCTGGATCATGCCAAAGGCCCATCTGCTCCAGCATCCTGTTCTCATAGTGGCCAATTAGATGCCCCATATAGGAAGCCCACAAGCGGCACATAATGCAGCGGCACTCTTTCCACTTATGATCCCCACTCTGACAGTGGAGGGAAAACAACCATTGTGGCTAATAGCCACTGATTGCCTAATAACTACCGTGAATTTGTCTAATCATCTTTTAAAGCCACTCAATTGATGGTTGTCACTGCCTCTGGTGGGAGCAGATTCCCAAGTTCCATCATAAATAGAAGGAAAAACACAAACAAGATTAGCAAACCACACCTCCCTGTTAGACAGAGCCTCTCTTGAACCCCGGGAGCAAATTCCACAGTTGTGTGAAGAATAACTTTCTTTTGTCTGTCCCGATTCTGCAGAAGGACCCATGCTTAGAGGGCTGAGTTCACACAGTTAGTCAATAGGATATTGCCATCCTGCCCTGCTACGTCTCATCCAGTGTGTGTAGTTGCTGAGGTAGACGGAGCGCCAACAGGGTCATTTTAGGTAGTTTAGGAAATTGTAATGAGGAAGGGAAATTTTGAAATGCAATTAAACATTGACCCTCCCTGCTGAAAAGGAAGACAGCAGGAGAAACCACAGAGAGCAGGCAAGCTAGTGGAAATCCACCTATTGCTCATGGCCGGGCCTGTTTGTCAACATTCACATTGAATCCCTCTATTGTACTGACTCCCTCTATTGTACACCAAGAAGAGGAGATGGCAGCGAACCAGCAGCAGGTCAATGCATTAATCACAGGTTTAAAACGTGCGGCATTTTAATTAGAACTCTCTCATTTTCTCCTTTACTCCCTGTGAATATGTGCATTAACAGCCTCTTAATCGGTTTCAGGCGGCTGATTAAGCAGGCAAAAAGCAATTTTAATTCCACCTTCCCTCACGCCATCTGGGTAAACAGTGTGGGAAATATGCAAAGATTAGGGGCCCAATCCACTGAGCAGTTGCCCCATTGAAATGAATGAGGAGCTCAGGGATCTGCACTGGGATGCTGAACATGTATTTTGGTTCTGCCTAAAAATAAGAACCATCTGAATGACAGTCGTTTGAGAAATGGAGGAGGGTTACAAGGGTATATATATCCTGCCGATTTTAAACTTTTAATTGGATTTTTAAATAAATTGTATGACTAAACTCAAGCAGAACGAAAACAAAAAAGAAAACTAAACTCTGCTCCCCTGGTTAACCCAAAACAAAACAAAACCAGACATCACTGCTTTACTATATCTGTGTACAAAAGCATACAGACAATGCAAGTAAGTTGTCTGGAGGTGAAAAGTAGGAGCACAGTCGACTTAAGACTATGTACAGCTAATACACACACACACACACACACACACACACACACACACACACACACACACATATTATTGGACCATTTCTATTTTTCTCACTTTTGCGTGCATAGAGATTTCATCCCTGGCCATTAGCCATGCTGGCTGGAGCTGATGAGAGCTGTAGCCCACAATATCTGGAAGAGACCATGTTGGCTACCCCTGGAGCAGGCAAAAATTACAGCAGATGAACCAGCGATCTGACCTGAGATGAGGTAGGTTTCTGGTGGCTTGGAAGTTCAGAGGTCCATGCATGGCTACTAGCCATGACAGCAATGCTCTACCTCTACTGTCCAAGGCTTCTGAATGCCCGTTGTTGGGAATCGCAGGTGGGCAGAGTGCTGTTTCCCCATCTCCAGCTTGCAGGCTTCCCAGGAGCATCTGGCTGGCATTTGGTGAGAACACGGTGATGGACTAGATGGGCCTTTGGCCTCATCCATCGGGGCTCTTGTGTTTTTAGGGTAAGGGAGGAAAAATAGGGTAGCATATGCTTTTGACAGCAAGCAACTGCGTTCCACTACATTACCAAAGTTAATAAACAGAAACCAAACTGATTCAAAAGTGTCCTTTTCTGCTTACAGGCCACCCTCAACTTTGGCATTATTCCCCGCCCCCCAAAACAGCAGCTTGCCCTATTCTCTGATGCTATGGATCTTATGCCACTCTATTAAAATCCTTCCAGTGCTCCCTGTGAAGAGTGATGGAGCATATTTCCTGGACCACTCTCACCCCACATGTTGGTACACAAGAGCATTCCCACCACATGTGTACCAATAAGTTGGCACCCCCTCCAAAAAGGAAGAAAATGTTCTAAGACACATAAAGAACAGTTTCCTCAGGGTGGTGTTGTATCACTTGTGCAATGGTTTTAAAGTTAGCTCCCTGACATTGGCAGATACAGTTTTATGGGCATGCCTATTCCATATTTAGTTTCAAGCATCCTCCTGTGTAATTAACCCATTAGCTTTCCTTTTTGTTGTTAAGGATTTGTTTTTATTGTAAGACAGACATCTGGTTTCACATTTATTAATGTGGGAATTAGTTATAACTCGGGTGGGGGAATCCAGTCCCCCAACAGCTGGAGCATGGGAGGTTGTTCAAATGATAAAGCTGACAAATTTAATCAGAGAAAAGGAAGACAACATGATAAAAACATTTAAAAATGGCATATCTTTATTATGTACAAGTGGAACAAAATACAAGACGTTGAACCAAATAGTCTATTAGGAATTTTGTAGCGATAGTATTATAATAAGTTTGCAAATTAATTATTAGTAATTAATGGTTTTTTTTGTTCATAAGCACTGATTGTGAATTTAAGCAATAGATTGTATTATTATTATATCCCTTCTTTATATATGTATGTACATATATATATTATTAGAAGTTGTTAATACAAAGAATTTCAGAAATGAAAGTGGAGAGGTTTGGATTTTAAAAAATATTAAATGGTTTATAAATGCTTTTAACTACATATGAATAAATAGAGGTTGAAAAAGCACCACTGTTGTGTGCTATGCATGTTTACTTAGAGGTTCAATGGGATTTACTCCCATGTAAGTGTGTGTAGAATTGCAGGCTCGGCCTCTTAGATTCCACTATGCAGTAATTTTCCACCCTGTCCATTCTTAACTTGAAAGATTATAAATTACCAACTCTAGATTCACAAAGCTGCAACTTCAGACACACCCAGATATTATTTACGGAGACAATCTTTCCACACCCAATATCCTGAGGGCTTTAAAAACATATCCCTTAATTGCATTTTATCTTCACAACAGCCCTGTGAGGGTGGTCTAGCCCAGAAACGGACTTTCCCCCAAAGGCCACCCACTGAGCTGCATGAGGATCTGAATGTGAGTTTCCCACTTCTGAATCCAACACAATTCTACAGCATCGGGGCTTAAACTGATAATAACACAGTACTGTACTGAATCCAGGAACTCCAGTTTAATTCCCCCCTTCTGCAAAAGTTCAAGGTGCTTCTGTACCTGTGCCTCTGACAATGGAAGGAGGATATAGCTGGGCAGGTGGGCTGGGTGGCTTTATGGTGACCCAGCTGCGGGGTTTTCACTGCAAAATGTGGGGGGGGTTTTGCTGCAAAACGCTTGCAAAACTCTGGCACAGGTTTAGAGCAGATCCCAGATTTAGGGGTTCGTAGTTAATGGGGCCCCTAAGGCTGCCTCAAATGGGCTAGCGTGGGACTTCCTGGCCTCTATGTCAACCATGGGGCTCTCTCAGTACATCAACGGTCCAACAAACCTAGCTGGGCAAATCCTTAACCCTTGAGTGGAATGGTAATACTCTGCTGATCAGGAGGCTCCTGTGAGTCTGTTGCCGTTCCCTGTTGTGCTGAATGTAGCTACTCCAATTCTGCAAGAACAGGGAACCCATTGACTGATGAAACCTGATGGATTCCTGAATGCTCCTGGGGATTTTCTGGCAGACATAGCTGGCACTCCTGCCGAGGCACTTGTGTCACTGTCGAATGTATGGTGAGCTGTGAGCCATTGACGCAGATCACCTTGGTGTTCCAGTAACCTGCCGTGTGATGAAACAGGGTCAGCAGCTAGAGCACAAGTTGCATGACTCAGGGCCCATCTACGCTTCCATTTGTCACAGAATCATAGAATTGTAGAGTTGGAAGGGACCTTGAGGGTCATCTAGTCCAACCCTCTGCAATGCAGGAATCTTTCGCCAACATGGGGCTCAAACCCACAACTCTGAGATTAAGATGCTCTACCAACTGAGCTATCTCAGCATGATTTCAAGTCATGGATCCAAGAGGGTTATTTTTTTGGTTCCACCGCTTTCCCCAGGAAAACCCGCTGTTTACTGCTGAATCAGAACAAATGTCCATCGGGTTTTCTGCAGATTGACATTTGTTCTAATTCAGCAGTAAACAACGGGTTTTCCTGGCAAAAGCAGTGGGACAAAACAAACAAAAAACCCCCCAAACTCTCTCAAACAGATCTGTAACTTGACATCACGTGAAATCATAGGAGAAGTGGAAGTGTGGAAGGGCCCCTGGTCTGAACCTGACTTAACATGGGTGAGGCTGCCTCATTGTACAGTGGTACCTCAGGTTAAGTACTTAATTCGTTCTGGAGGTCCGTTCTTAACCTGAAACTGTTCTTAACCTGAAGCACCACTTTAGCTAATGGGGCCTCCTGCTGCCACCGCACCGCCAGAGCACAATTTCTGTTCTCATCCTGAAGCAAAGTTCTTAACCCGAGGTACTATTTCTGGGTTAGCGGAGTCTGTAACCTGAAGCGTCTGTAACCCGAGGTACCACTGTATCTGCTTTTGGGTTTTCAGAGCTCCCTTTCTTTCTTGGACAGGCAGTAGGTGTCTGGTGCAGGGCACCTGTGTTAAGGGAACAAATAGAAAGAGCATATCAGGGATGTCATCTACACAGAATAGTGCATTCTGACTGGACTCCAAATTTCATGTTTGTGGGAGTTCATAGAATTGTAGAGTTGGAAGAGACCGCAAGGGTTCAACCCCCTACAATGCAAGAATCTTTTGTCCAACGTGGGGCTCAAACCAACAACCCAGGATGTGATTACTTGGAGGTGTGCCACGCTTTTTCAAGGATCTTGTTTTGGTTGTTACTGCTTAACATATCACAGCCCCTGAGCATGTGCAGAGGAACTTTGACTTTGACTACACCTGAAGAAGGCAACTTAAAACCCCAGGAAAGCAGGAAAATAAATACCTCCTCTTGAATTTCCAAGCTGCTGGTATTTCTACAGGACACACAGGAAGCTATATAGCTCAGGATTTTCCACTCTTTCTGGCTGCAGCTATCCAGGATCACAGAAACGGGTCTTTCCCATCACAGGCTGCCTGATAATTTTCTATTTTGAGATTCCTGAGCTTGAATTTGGGTTTTTCTGCAACCCAAAAATCCCCTGCCGTCAGCGCTGAACTATCGTCCTTTCCTCTGGAGGAAAGTCTGGGATTGTAAGTAGCCTTCTTCGGCTGCAGCGAAAATCTAAGTTCCTCTGCACACGCTCAGGGGCTCTTGGGTCACAACAAGCCCAGGGGTTTCGCTTCCTTAAAAGACTGTTGCAATATGCAATTTTGAAAAGAAAAAAGCAGAAAAGCGACGAGGGGAGGAGTCTGAGAGAAGGGCGGGGCTTGCGGCTCAGAGCTGCCGCCTTGGATTGGCTGGTGGCCTCGGGGAGGCGGGGCTTTGTGGTGGGTGGCAATTGCAGGCTAGTGGAGCTCGCTCCTTCTTTGCTCGTCAGTTGCCGCAGGAAAAGGAGCAGCCGGCGCCGCCCAGCTGCGAGTCCGGGGTGAGTAAACGGCTTCGCATTGGGAGCGGAGAACGAGGAAACTGCCTTCAAAAATACGGAGTGTTCCGGGGTGGAAGGGAGACCTGGTTAAAAAAGCTGCGTCCCTGACCGGCAAGATCTTTAGGGGGGGCTCTGTATTTATGTGGGGATCCAGATCATTGTGGGCTCTTGGGTGGGGATCCATCCCATTGACAACGCCCTGAAGAGATGCCGGGGTTCAGGGATTGCCCAACTTATGCTGCTGGTGGTGTAGGGAGAGGAGGATTTGCAGTGTTTGGGGAAGGCACTCTGCACATGTTCAGAGGCCCAAGGGTTGCAGTTCCTACCTGGTAAAAATCTAACCGGGGGATCTCTCTTTTCCTTCTACCCGACTCTGTTCACCCCCGACCCTTCTTCCGTGTTGATCGTTCCACATTCTCCAGCACAGACCCAGTCGCAAAGTATGAACATCGTTTTTTAAAAGATATATACTGGGCGGGGTGGGAAGTTTTTTGGGGGTGGGGGTGCTGTTTTGGGCTAGCTGCTCCTGAGTCGCTAGAGGTGCCTTCACTTCCTTGCTTCTTACCCCTTGGAGATGTCAAGAGTTGGCGGGTTTGAGATCATTCTAGATTAATTAGAACAGGATGTGTGTGTGTGTGTGTGTGTGTGTGTTTTGCGGCGGGCGTTGCGCGCAATGGTTAGGGAGCCACGCGGCGGGGCGGGCGCGGGGTGTCTAAGGAGGATACAGAGCTTGGCTCCGGGATCTCCCAGCTTCCCCGCCGGGGATCCAGCATTCAGCGTGTGCCATAAGAACGAGAGTTTACTGGAAGGAGTGCGGAGAGCGGCTGGTGGGGTTTGCTTACTTCCTAGCCCCTCCCTGAGCAACCGGGGGGGGGGCGAAGCAGAGAACTTCACTTTGCATCCGGCAACTTTTT